AAATGGCCATTGATCGCGGCCTCCTTCTGCGTTTGTCGCACAGTGGCGTCCGTACCCGAGCATATCGGCGATATCCAGTAACGAATAAGAGGCGAGGTAAAGGGTTGCCTTTCTCTCTCTCTCTCTCTCTCTCTCTCTCTCTCTTCGGGTGTGCGTGCGTGTATACGTGCGGATGGGCGGCTATGGAGATGGCGACGGTGGGATGGGGGGTGTGGCGGCGAGAGGGACGGCTGGGAGGTTGGTCGTGGGCTCTCCCTCACGTGCCGGGGCGCTGCAACCATACTAATCCGCCGATGGATTTATGGTCTTAATCACCGGCGGATTATCTCGGACAGCCCGCGCTCACGGCGAAACATACGCCTGCCTCTTTGCAGATAACTGCCGGAATACCAAGCCACGCCACCCCCGATTCGCGTGTATCCATTCACATGTACAAGCGCGAACGCCCGCACCATCACAAACTACGGCCTCGTGCTCGATTCGGGGAGCCTCCGCCTCGACGTAAATTGCGCTACGGGGATGCTCGACCGATCGCGGCCGCGGCACTCTCGTATCTCCAGGCTCATTGGAAGATGAGAATGCGAGTGCGCGGAGATTTTTGTCCTTTCGGCATTTCGCAGTTACAGCATCTGGAGCGTTGACCTATAGTTGGCCTACAGAGGTGTGACCAAGTCAGCAGCCCGTGGCCGTCTTGGCCCTACTTGAGATATCTTTTGTGATGAAGTCGGCTACGAGGGGACCGAGCTCCTTGATTCGCAGCTTAAGCCAGCGAGTCACTCGGTGATTTGTGAAAATTGGCAAGTAATTGGATGTGAGGTATTGCAGCGTGAATCGAGCCAAATGCCACAAATTGTGGCCGCACTGCGGCTGATAAAGATTTTGGGTAAGGAAAAGTAAATGTGTCCGTGCGTGACATGATCGGGGATTACTTATGCGCTGCTGCCTTCAACGATGAGAAAACGATAATTTGATGAAAATAATTTTGCCGCAAAAGCGTTCAATCATCAAATAGCTAATAAAGTGCTTTTTTTCTATTATACGATTGTTCATATACTGAAGTAAGTTAAATTCGTAGGTTAAATTCAGGCTCATAAAATGTGGTATTACAGCGAGCTAATATCAAGTAAATATTAAATAAAATGATTCCGCGTATTAAAGGAAAATATTAAAGCTTACAATTTTGTGAAAATTTTCAGCATACTATGGTTTCTTTGCATTTCTATGCATAAAAATATACTTTTCATTCAAATTCCAATGCTTGGCTCATAATGCCATACAACTATTTTCATTTTATTATCAATAAATGTACATATTTTAAAGGATTACTTAGCCATATTCTACTCATATGCAATTTAATAGCCTATTAATGCTAATTAATTATTTTATAGCTTACAGTATGCCTGATAAGCTTAATAAAATAAACTTACATAATATTTAAATCTATTCTTGCGTACACATTACGCTTTGGCTAATCAATCGGATTAATCTAATTTTATCTTTATTTCAACGTAAGTGCAAACATAAAAATTGACTTTGCAGAATCATTGATGACTTTCATTTTTAAATTAGATCGGTGGGAATTTAAAAGAGTTAGATGTCTCGTCAAAGTCATAAAAATTATTTATCGTAAAATTCGTACAATATAATAGTTGGTACACATTGACTAAGGATACGGATATGTTTAACGAATGAATTTTTTTAATGCGGACAAAACGCCTGGAATATCCTTATGATTTATTTTATTGTTTTTGGGCGCGTCAGACTGGAGGCAAATTAAAATAACAAATTGATCACAAATCTTTAATGTATAATAAATAAATAGATATCATTAAAAGCTCAAAAAAATTAGCGAAATTATATGAATTCGAAGCCCTTATAGATTCTTACTTATAATTTCATTCGTAAAAATGTTGAAAGAAAAAAATCATGAGTTAGTTATAATACGATACGCTTTTTCGTTGAAATAATCGCGATAATTGAACGACGAAAAAGAGCAGAAAGAGGGAGTGATATTGAAAATCCTTTTTGTAAAAAAAAAAAAAAAGAAGTAATAAACAATTGATGGTATCCAAGACCCGATAAAAAACAAGGATAATGTTACAAAATATGCATTTCAAAATGGCATATTTTACTGGATTCTAAATCTCCGAAAATATCAGCTATTGGAATAAGATATTCGATGTTTAAAATATAGATATTGGAGTAGTGAGTTTTGAAATGTATAGAGGATGAAATTTAGCGAGAGGTCGGTGCTTAACGAACGAATAGAACATAAAACGAGAGGGACGAACAATGAAAGGAAGAAGAGCGGATAGACGCGGAGACAAAGAACGAAGGAAAGAGAGAGAGAGAGAGAGAGAGAGAGAGAGAGAGAGAGAGAGGGAGGGAGGGACGCATTTGGGGAGCAGAATTTCGAGAATTTCGGTACACGGCGCATAACCTCATGATGTCGGTGGCGCGTTCGGCTACGTGTGTGGTTCCATAAATCCATGGGGGCTTAGCATAGTAAAGCCTCTCCGAGTGCAACCGCAACTCGCGACTGCGCGGTCGGACTCCGCGCAACCAAACCACCCGCGGCCATGCGAATGCAGAATCGGCTCCTGGTGCACGACATTCGAATCGCCCACGTAATCGAGAGCTCCAATTCACCCGGGCGCGTCAAAATAACGAAGGACGAGCGGAATAAGCGCGGGTTGAATTTATCGCTTAGTGCGTTTTGTTCTCGCCTTCAACAAGAAACCACGCGATATCACCGCAACTGCACTCGACTCTCTGCTCCTTTTTACATTCGGCTTTTTCATTCGTTGCTAAACATTTTCCAGCCTGGCTACTAGTTGCTTGCTACGCGGAGGTCTCCGGAGTTTTCATCACATTTGGATATGTGTGTGCCTATTTGTTTTTTCATCGCTTTTCCGCGGCAGCTTTGATAATTGCATTATTCCTTCATTCTTATTAACTCGTTTAATTACATTTTTCTACGCACTTCTCGGGAGCATCAAGACTTCGTTATATTGATATTGCAAATTCCGATTACGCGTCGTAATCGTACTGTAAACGTTATTATGATATTAACGTCTTCGTGTACTTTCGCGCAATGATTCACTTATATTTTGTTTGACTTATCAATATATAATATTTATCCTTCAATCTAAGGATAAACATTGTTAAGTGCTATTATGTGATCTTTCATCTTAACGTTTAAGATTAAATCTCACGTTAATTCATCTGTCGAAAATTTTTATAATAATTTCAAATAATAATTGACACATTAATTGCCAATTAATCATTTGCTGAGGATACGTAATGTACAACTGTTCCTATGCACTTCTAATAATGATATTTTATTTACTTATTTGTTTAATTATATTGATAATAAATAAAATTTTTTTAAATTAATAATTAAAAAATTATATTTTAAACGATGCAAATCGTAAGTTGGCGATGGTAATATAAACAAATTTACATACGAGAGAGCATTTGTGAAAAACATTCGGATCAATTCACAATAATATATTACAGTATTTATTAACTATTGCAAAATAATAAGCATAAAAAAATTCATATAACTGGGATATAATGATTTTTTTTTATCACAATAGAAGCAATTTTAAATGAGATGCTTCATTGTGCAAGAAATTTTTTTTTTATTTCCAAGAACAAAGCTTTTTTCCCTTGAACTTATTGTTAAATTTTTAACAAAAAGTTTTATTACTATATAAATAAATGCCAGCTTCTTTCATCAAAGCTTTTATATATATATATATATATATATATATATATATATATATATATAATATTAAACATCTTATTTATATTTTCCTAATTTATTATATTTTATATTATACTTATTTTTTTCTTCTTATTTTTCTTTTTGTTGAATTTTTGTTGAAATGTAAAATTTGATCGAATGTTTATATTGATAAATATAGATTTTTTTATTTTATATAAAAGTATTTCTCTTAAGTGCTGATTTTCATTTCTAACAGAATAATTCGCTTTATTTCAAAGAAAATACACGTTGCTTCGATGTCAGAAAAAATCATCCAACAGTGCGATATTGATTTCAAAACCTTCACGACAGGCATTGACATCCGACATAAAATTGAATATTATCGCTTAGTTTGTAGGCTTCGTAAACTTATAATTTTTGTACTCTGAATAAAATATTTAATAAATATTCCTCGCGTATTGTTAATTTTATAACGGGAATAATTTGAAAGAGAAATGAAAGAAGAAATTTCACGACAAGACGGCGCGACTATGTGTGTTAGCGTTCAACGGAGAACATGTCAGATTCATCAGAGAAATAATATTGGATGTTTCTCTTGTAATCGAGATGATCAGACTGAATGAAAGCACTGTTGAATGCTTATTTTATAATATATTTAAAAAAAAAATGCCTTCAAACGTTTTTATCAGCAACACTTGAGTTTGGCTCGAATATTAGAAATCAGAATGTAAATGCGCAATATCATTGAAACATCGCATTGTGGTTATTAAAAAGTGTACAGCCAATATTAGCTTATGGGATTGAAAGTTATGGCATTATCAATATTAAAAATAAAAACTATAATAAACTATTCCGTTAAATTTTAAATAAATATGGGGATTAATTTTCAAAACATATCACAATGTGGCACTAAATCAACGAGTAATTAATAAATGGATTATCGAATATTCAATAACAAGGAAGCATTCGGTAAGATTAAACTCAACGCGCCAACTGTCTTAATACAATAACTGATATTGAAAAATAAATGTTCCACCTAAGATATCATAAATGTTGTGTGTCGTGTATGTGGAATCGTCACGTCTTTAGACAATTTCAGCCACGAGATAAACAAATAATAAGCGAAAATAAAGAGATCCACCCTCCACTACATCCAAGCCCATATTCATCCTTAAAATTGCATGAGGCAATGTTCTATACGGTTTATCGATCAAATAACGCAACACCAAACTTTACCACCCTCGATCCCAATCTCGGAACTCGCTCTTACCCTGACTCGTGGCTCGGTGAGGCACGTCCACATGGCGAGCTCCTCCCTGGATGACATGTCGGGGTATCGATTCTTCGCGAAAAGCGTCTCGAGTTCCTGGATCTGCTGCGTCGTGAAGTGCGTCCTCTGCCGCCTCTGTCGCTTCACCTTTTTCCCGTCCTTGTCGTCCGCGTCACTCGCTCCGACGATGCCCGGTGAGACAACACCACCCGCGCCAAGTCCTGGCTTTACCTCCGTAGGTGTGCGCATACCTGAAATCCATCAAAATATGACGTTATTCTGCCTTCACTGGGCTCATACTCCCCCGCTGTTGCGCCATTTGCAATATTGTGATCGAGTGCGAGCCTCGAAATTAAATGTAATGGGATGAGTAGAAGCGTTCGTTGGGTCGATTTATTAAACGACGGGGATGAGCTTCGGGGC